ACAATTCACGGATTGACTGAGCATGCTCACCATGTGTGTGAAGTGCAGGAACAGCACCAGGAACAGAGCCACGATGGTGATGGCACCACAGAGCAAACACACTGCAAATATGGCGCATTTGGCTTGGGACGTGCTCCCGGCCCCCATAGCCTCTGGTCCTGAGCAATGCAATTGGAAACAGAGGGTTAATGTGTGAGGTTCTGCACTGGCTGGTCACTAGTGCCACTAGGCGCCTTTCTGGTGGGGGATTTCGAATGCCTTTCCTGAGTGTTGTGTGTCGTGTAATTGGGGTTTGCTATGGGCTGTAAGTACCCGCAGCTCTTTGCTTTCCCAGGGCTGAGAAGTACGAGGTAAGGAAACAGTGGGGGATGTGAATGTGCGGTTCAGGGATTCCAATAACCTGCTTCCATGAAAGCTAGTGGGATTTGGGTGGGGTCCAAAATCTACGACTGGAAATGGAGCTGGCGCCTTTTGGGGACATGAAGCCAGAACTGAGCCTTTTGTCGGAATACGTTCCAACTGGGTCAGTGGGATTTCTCGCTATCCTGGTGTGTGCAGGGGGGATCAGACACTCGTCTGGCTTCCTGGGCCCCCTGGCTGTCCCTATTGCTGATGCTGGGAGCTGGGTCTATCTGCGACATGATCTGCACTGTCCTGTGTTAAGCGAAGACCTTGGAGATGGGTCAGGGCCGCCTGTCACACCCCCCCCCGCCTCTGGGTTTCCATGGTTCACGGGCGGTTCAGACACAGTCAATGTGATGCTTTTAGTTTGCCGCCGTCCACTGAAGGTGAGGCTGTAGACTCCGCTGTCATTAAGCTGCAGATTCCGAAGGAGCAGAGAAGCGTTTTCAGGGAACAGCTCAGCTCGGCCTTGGTAGGTGGGATGTGTAAAATGAGTCCCAGAGCAGTGGGTGGGGATCACCTCAGTGCCATGAGTGGATTTGGGGTGTTACTGAAGTACCACTGAATGCCCAGCGGAGAGGGAAATGGCCCCGGCTGGAGCCGGTAGGAGATGGGCAGGAGGACAGACTGGCCGACAGTCCCATTGACTGAATCCTGGGGGATCTCAATGAGAAGAGCGTGGGAGGAGCCTGCAATAAACCGACACAAACAGAGATCAGCCAATTGCCCCCTCCCCCTCCCCCCCCGGTACAGCCGAGAGAATGCAGCTGCGATTGCTCTGTCCCCACCAGTGGGCACGATGGCACTTGTGACTCCTAACTAAAATGCAGGATGGTTTTGGTCCCACTTGCCATTGTGGGACTGAGCCAGTTCAGTTTGCCAGAGAGAAAAATTCTGCGCTCCTGGCTCTTGCAGCCGTGGTGTGAAGCTGCGCTAGATCACGTCTCAGCAAGGAATTGCAGAATGGAATGAGGTTCTACCAGAGACACTCTCGGTCCGTAGCTAAAGCCTTTTCCCGTCCCAACAGCTGCCTGGCCACGAGAGAGCCTCAGGGAAGGACTAGCTCGTTCTCACTGGCAGTGCACGCCAGCGGCCATGGCTTCAGGGAGCTAGGTCTGCTATGGGCCTCCTTGTGTGGGAGACTTTGTGAAGTGCTGAGGCGGAGGAGAGAGGTGGCCCGGCGCTGCAACTACAGGGGGGAGGCAGCAACGATGAAAGTGTTTGGAGAGGGCCCCCCCCGAGCAATGGGTTGGGGGAGGGAGCCGCAGCATTTCGCCTAAGAGCTGGATACAGAGCTGCTCGAACTCTGGACATCAGCCGGGGAGTGGGCTGCAGCCGGGGGATGAAGTGACTGGCAAAGAAGAGCTGTCTTGTTGGCTGTTTGCACCAGCACCTGAGGAACCAAGTTACCGGCACTGTGCGGCTGTGTGGGGGGGTGAATTTACTATTCAGATCTGTGCGTTATTATTGCAGGTCTCCTACATTTGCTCTGTGTCCCTTTCCCACTAATGCGTGTCTCCTGTTCCATGCACAGACTCTGTGCTTGTGAGCAGGGAGGTACTGCAGGGTCGGGAGTAGGTTTTCCACAGCTTTCGGGGTGGGGTCAGGAGGATGAAGCCCGTGCATTTGTTAATTTTAAGAGGATATTTAAACTCCCATGTTATTGAACAGCTGGATATTTAACCCAGCCTCTTATAGTGCTGACAACACCCTGAAGAGGGGTGATTATCTAGAACCCCTGCTGCTGACTCCCCGTCTCTGACCACCCAGATTCCGATCCCAGTTCCCAAAGAGCTCCTGTCTTTGGGGAGAGCTGATGCAAAGCCCCAGCTCTGAACATCCCCAGACCTTGGACCGTTTGGAATCTGGATCTAACTTCGGCACCTTAAGCCCATCTAGGATGTTAGCTCAAGTATTTCCGGCTCGGCCCCATTCCCCAACTCACCGAGTACGAGAAGGATGCAAAAGCAGTTCGGGACCCTCCTGCAGAACATCGTGTAGCTCCAGGCTCCGACCTGGGATCCAGCACCACCTCCGCGGGGGCAGGGTGATGTGGTACTGAGCGCACGAGTCAAGCAAATGGCTCTCAATGTTCCCTCTGCGGAGGAAGGAAGCTGTTACCACTCGGAGAGCTAACAGCCTTTTAGCCCTTCTCCTCTTTTACAACCTGCGAGCGGCTGTCCTCGTGGCTGCAGAATGTGTGTGAGGTTGTCCTATGCACACTGAAAGGACTCTCCCATTGCCCTTTGTTGTCCTATGCACACTGAAAGGACTCTGCCATTGCGCTTGGGGTAGAAGAGAATGCCCTTTAGGTGGGTAGTATGGAGTTGCTGGCACACAGCTGTGTCCTTATTCCATCTGGCCCAGGACTGGCATTTTAATTTAAGTGGGTCTGCAAAGAATAACAGCTCACTAACACCTTGACCCACATGATCAGTCACGGCCTCAGTTCCAAACATTTCGTCTCATCGGATGCAGGGGAAAGCTCGAGTCAAATGGGACCACAGGACACTGCTTGTCTGGACTGTGCAGATGGAGAAAGCACCGTGTCCGTGAACAGCCACAGCGCTACAGTCACTCAGAGCGGTTGTCTCACAACCAGCCTCCAGCTCTACATTTCTGTCACTCATCTCATCCTGGCCGCCCCCCTCAGCAACAGGAAAAAGTTCTCTGCAGCGAGACATGGTGAAAAGACTCTCCCCTTCGTACCACAGAGATCTCCGGGGGGAGCAAGGTAGGGGAGAGGAGGAATTAGCAAGGGACAAAGCACAAACCCACCGTTTGGTTGACCAGCCGCCACACTGGCTGGCTGTGTGTGGATAACCCCGTTCTGCTCTCTGTTGCACTCTGTAGCTAAGGGCAGAGTTCACTGCTCTGGATACGAAAGTTCAGGTGTATCTGGGGGGTTCAGTCTCAAAGCACCAGTGCAGGACGTGCGACTAGAGGAGGAATTAGCAAGGGACAAAGCACAAACCCACCGTTTGGTTGACCAGCCGCCACACTGGCTGGCTGTGTGTGGATAACCCCGTTCTGCTCTCTGTTGCACTCTGTAGCTAAGGGCAGAGTTCACTGCTCTGGATACGAAAGTTCAGGTGTATCTGGGGGGTTCAGTCTCAAAGCACCAGTGCAGGACGTGCGACTCTGTAAGGTCACAGATGTGTCATGGCTGTGGTTGGCGTAGCTCTGAAGAGAGGGAGGGATGGGGGGGTGTCAGGCACATACCGAATGGGACAGGAAACGGTGCTGCTTTGAAACTGTTAAACTTTGAATAATATTTCAACCGTTCATTCAGAGGCCTTAACGTTCCTGCGGCCGTGCTGGGCCTGCAGAGCCTACGCTGGCCTTGCTACGCTGGCCTTCTCCCCTCGCGTGGACACAGAGTTGCTGACCGCAGGATGAGTTTGGCTGTGTGGGAACAACTCCACCCCAGTGGAGTTTAGCTGTGCTGTCAAAGCTTGTGGCTGTCAACACGGCTGTGTCGCACTGGTGTGTGTGTGTGTGGGCCGGGGGGGGGTTTGACACCTAGCTGTGTTGCTAGGGGATGTGGGTTTTTCCACACCCCTTGCTGAGGTAGTTGTGCTGGTATAAATTTTAAGTGTAGTCCAGGCCCGAGAGCCCCGTTGGACCCTGGAAGCCCTGTCTGCTCTTTCACCAAAGGCATTTGCGCTTTGAAAACTAAGGGCCTTTCTGGCCTGTATTTAAACCCACTCACCCGGCCAGCTGCCAGGAGTGTTTAACCAAATGCTACACCGTAGTTTCCTCTATCCTGCGGCCAGTAAGCAAAGGGCCTTTGATTGACCTTCATGGAGGCTGATGGAAGTGCTCCAGGCAGAATGACCTTCCCCCGCCTCAGCGATTCCTGATGACCTGCCTGTTTAGGGTTGTGTGTGTGGCAGGCACTTTTTGCATTCGCCGTGCAATGATTTTAACACCCGCTCCTCCTTCTCTGGCTCTGTACGCAGTGACTTGTCACTTTCAGACTCGATCCTCTGTCTTACCGGCAGCGGAGGAAATCACTCACAGGTGCTAGCAGGGGTGAAAGGTTGAGGGAAAAACCACCCCCAGAATGAAAGCAACTTCCTTCCTGGGAGGAGAGGGCATTTCAGACCTCAGTAGCGAGCCCATCTCCTCCCACAGACTCGCTGCCACTGTCTGAGCGCAGAGAAACATGTTCCAAAGGAGCTGCCAGAACGTCTTTCCACTCCTCCTACTTATCGGTAAGTTCGGGGACGGGGTTAGAGCTGAGAATGCAGAACGGGAGCCCGATACATCACAGTGACTAACAGGGTAAAATGGAGGGGAATGGGCACAGCAGCTCCTGTGTTCCAGTCCCAACTCTGCCCGTGACTTGCTGTGCAATATTGAGTGAGTCGTCTTGCTCCTCTGTGCCTCAGTGTCCCCAGATTCAAAACGGGCAGGATAATTCTTCCCTCGAGGGGGTGTCATGTGGTGACTTAGTTAATAGCCGCTTGACATGGGTTACTCTCTATTCGTAATGCCGCTTTTAAAAAACGGAGATGGGCTGTAACGGATTCTTTGCTTCACACAAAAGGGGGCTCTCTCCGAATCTCTGCGTTAGTGTTTAATGGGTGGTCAGTGTTGGCTTGGTCTGTACAACGGGTGTTACACTATTGAGCTCTGGCTAGAATTGTGAGGAGAAGTGTATAGTGAGATTAGCGCTTACCCAGCGCGCGAGCACGGCTCTCTGTGTGAGCAGCAGACGCGGTGAGTTACAGCCCACGGAAGCTGGTGCCCAAATCAATCTGCTGGTCTCCTGGTTGCTTTTGTTGTGCTACACGGAGCTTTCTGATGGCGGGTTCAAGCTGCACAGTAACTCTGTCGATCCGCCTGCTAGTACCGTCTGGACAAATAAAGCCCTTGCTGAGATATACACAGCAACCCTTTATCTACAAAGTACATCAGCCAATACATGTGATTTAGGGTGTTGAGACATTAGGTGCTTCTGATGCCCCAGAACACAGCTGTACATTACCAATTATCCTACAGACAGACTACATGACAGCATGGTTAATTGGCCTGAGCTTGGGATAGCGATAAAGCTATAAGTTGCATGTGCAGGTTTTGATAGATGGATGCCACTGAAACATCCACTCTTTCATCAGGGCCGGCTCTAGGCACCAGCAAATCAGGCAGGTGCTTGGGGCAGCACTTTGCCAGGGGTGGCATTTCAGGTAAGCAGCCGGTGCCCCCCTGGCAACGCCTAGCCCTGCCCTGCCAATTTAAAGGGCTGCGGCCCGGGAAACGCCGGGGCTGCACGCAGCCAGCTGGCAGCACCAATGCGCCCTGGAGCCCGCTGGCCGCCCGACTCCTCTCCTGCTCCTCCCCTTCCCTGGCAATGCCTAGCCCTGCCCCGCTGTTTAAACGGCCACGGCCCAATGCTCCCTGGAGCCTGCTGGCCGCCCCGTCTCGCTCCTCCCCTTCCCTGGCAACGCCTAGTCCCACACTGCCCTACCCCACCAATTTAAAGGGCCGTGGGATACACCGTGGCTGTGCAGGCAGCACTGGCACCATGTGCAGCTGGCCCCGGAGTCTGCTGGCCGCCCCTGTCTCCTAGTCCTGAGTCCTGCTCCTCTCTGGCGGCCACTACCTCCTCTAAGAGCCTCTCCACTCTAAGCCATCAGCCACCCCTCCGCCTACATCGTATGGAAATCCCAGGTAAGATGCCCCCTTTCCACCTAGGGTTGCCAGGTGTCCGGTATTTTCGCTTCCTGTCCGATAAAAAAATCAGAAAATACCAGACACCTGGCAAACCTACAAACACTCAGCCTGCTGGCCGAGCCCCCAGCCCCCGACAGCCTCAGCCCCACGGACCCTTTGAAGTCTGTTCCTAGTATATTTCTCTTGTTCATGTTTGTAGTAGAAGTAGAACCAAACAAGGATCCAGCGCGCGCGCACACATACACACACACACAGAATATTAACTGTTCTACTCTCTTCAAAGAACCACACATGGTGTTTCATAGATATTTCTTTAAAGAATTAAACTTTGTTGATCTGGGTAAACTTTTGTGTTTGATGTCTCTAAGGCAAGCTTCATTCCATATATAGTTGTATTGGGCACATACAACTCTCCACTTCCTCTAACACTCCATAAACTTGAATATATAATGGCTACTAAAAAGAGGGATACACAAAAATAATGTGCATATGCACACCCACTGATCTCAGTTTATCTGATAACATAGATGTGTTAGAGCCACATAAGGAGCCACTGCATTTCAAAACAAATCTAGTTTAACAATACAGCTTTTTATTGATGTAGTTTAGATGTCTTATGTGCTATAATTATCATAATTGGTTGACAAGTATGTTAACACAGCGTGGTATTGTTAGCTGATTGTAATTGGTTTGAAGATTGATTAAGTATAGCCATAAACTACTTGGCTACATCTACACTGGCATGATTTTCCGAAAATGCTTTTAATGGAAAAGTTTTCCGTTAAAAGCATTTTCGGAAAAGCGCGTCTAGATTGGCACGGACGCTTTTCCGCAAAAGCACTTTTGCGGAAAAGCGTCCGTGACCAATCTAGACGCGCTTTTCCGCAAAAAAGCCCCAATCGCCATTTTCGCGATCGGGGCTTTTTTGCGGAAAACAGTACTGTGCTGTCTACACTGGCCATTTTGCGCAAAAGTCTTTCAGAGAAAGACTTTTGCCCGAACGGGAGCAGCATAGTATTTCCAGAAAAGCACTGACGATCTTACATGAGATCATCAGTGCTTTTCCGGAAATTCAAGCGGCCAGTGTAGACAGCTGGCAAGTTTTTCCGGAAAAGCTGCTGATTTTCCGGAAAAACTTGCCAGTCTAGACACAGCTCTTGAGTTTTAGATGTGGCACAAGTTCTTCCTTCTATTTTTGGTACTTAGTTAAGGAAAGATAAACTATTTGTGTGAATAGTTTTTCATGCATTCAAACCACAAGTAAAAAGTAGCCTATTTCTATAAGAACAATACAATAGAGTTTTAAGGTACATTTCCCACTCTTGAAAAAGAGCTTTGTGTGAGCTGGAAATCTTGTCTCTGTCACCAAAACAAAACAAAAAAAATTGTGAAGTGCGAAGCCAACAAAAAGGGGGGGACAGCCAAAAAATGTTTTGCTTGGGGCAGCAAAAAATCTAGAACCGGCCCTGCATCTGCTGGGGGACACAGCATGAGTAGGAGCCCCTCTGCCCTGCAGTAGTGTTTGGGGAGCTGCCAGGCCATGGCCGAGAGAGGAAAATTCTAACTCCCATGGAGAACCCTGCCCCAGGCCTGTATTCTACACCTCACCTGGAGGTCCGGCGTGGGCCTTCCCTTGAGAAAACAGAACCGATCAGTATACTTGCGCCTGGCCTGTGGGTGTTCTACTGAGAGCCTAGGGCTTGTCTGAATCAGGGTATTTGCTGTTATAAAGGAACCAGAGTGGTAGGTCCTTCCCCTGTGTACACTGGCTCAGAATTCATTGTCCAAGGGGATTATAACGCAGCCCCTGTGTGACTGGTACAGAGCAAAGGGGCTGTGTGAGACGCATGAGACATGAAGCTGGCCTTTACCGCATTTGTACCTCGTTTTGTTTTAACGGGATTTATTGTGACTTCTCTCCAGAGATGAGTGTTTCCCATTACAGTGTTTGCCAAATGGCCGCTTGCCAGTTCTCCCCGGTTTTGGCTGACGCACTGGTCTCTGTGCATGTTTTGCAGGTGTCTCGCAAGCTCGTGTGACAGAAGTCCCTCAAGAGTCAGTCAATGGAACCGTTGGACAATCTGTGCTCCTGCATGTCACCTACAGCTTCCCAGTGTCACTTCGCTTTCCTTTGCCAATTCAGTGGCGTTTCAGTAACACCCCTAATCCACTCGTCACCTATACAGTGAATAGCTGCTCTGTCGATGCTGAGGGGTTCCCCACCCGCTGCGCTGGGAATCATTTTACACTTCCCGCCTACCAAGGCCGGGCTGTGTTTTTCCCTGAAAATATTTCTCTGCTCCTTCAGAACCTACAGCTCAGCGACAGCGGCATCTACAGCATCACCATCAATGGCATGAGAAGGAGAGAAATTTCATTAGTGGTATCAACCTCTCAGCCGACCAACAGCAGCACAGGTAACCACTCAGCCATCATGTATAACATCCACAGTGCCAAGGGAGTCGGGCCTGTTGCTGGTGCCATCGACACAGTCACATGGAAATGATGGTTTTTTTCTACCATGTGCAGAGTCAGGGCACAGCATGAGAACCCCGATAATGTTAGTCTCTGAGATAAGTGAATCTTTTAACCCCTGCATCCCCTTCCACCCTCCAAAGATCCCAGATTTATGGAGTATTTCATGGCTCCAGGATTACGCAGCACACACACAGAATACATTCTGATGCAACTATCATAAAACAGGGTGGTTGTGTTTTGTTTGGAGGTTTTTTTTTGCGGGGGGGAGATACATCGCTAGCCTCCCTGGGAAAAGTTAACTACTTCTGAAGTCTCCACAGTTTTTAACCTTCCTGCTTGCATTGCACTGGAGGTACTTCCTGGAGCTTTTGTTCCCTGGGTTTTATATTGATTAGTAATTAGTGTGAGGTAACAGGAATATGGTCTTTGGCTGAGCGTGAATCGCATTGAGAGGGGCTGGTCCATTTCTTTTTCTTTTTAGTCATAGTTTTGGAGCCTGGTAATCCTTAAAGATCGTATTTGGTCTCTTGGTCAAATTAAAGGTGTCGAAGATGGCTAGCTACTTCTCTGTTACAGGTGATCTGTTCTTTTAACTAGAAGAACCAATTACAATCATAACTCTAAACCGCGCTATGCCATGTAACAATATCCAGGTCACCCTAATCACGTCCCAACCGTTTATGATTCTTTACTGTCAGGTTACCACATATAACCTAAATATGATCTCACGGCAAACTCCTCTGAGAGCCAGATGTGACCTGCACACTTTGCCAGACACCAACGATAAACGTTTACACGATAATGCAAAGACTCTTGGCTACCCCGCTTTAAACCAAGTCAGTGCTAGGATTCCTATCATTGTGAGAGAGGTCGGGTCAGATTTTACTGTCCATGTGCTGTATACCAAGGATCAAACTCTACTGGCCAGGCCTATCTGATTCAGTTACATAGGTTCTTCTTACTACTGTGTGTTAAACATCTAGAATGTGCTTGGTAAGGTACGTGCCACATAAAAACACAGGGTCTGCCCAGAGGAGCCCAGTGTGCAAAAGAGAAACACAGACGAGACAAGATCCATTGAGAGATCTAGGAGAAGTGTTAGTTTAGGATGTCTCCTTCCTTTGTGTGTGTGTGTGTTTTAGATATACTTTCCTTCCTGTTTTTTCCTTCCCCTCAAACAGTGACGGGGTGGAGAAGGTATTTTATTGATGTGAGCGGGGCCTTGTGAATTAACCTTTAAACACTGCAGTTGTACAACACGTGTAACTCACGTGTGCATGCACTGGAGTACATATCATCGCCATGCATTAGCCCATCAGAGCATGGGGCCTGGTATGAGCCAGAAACTAGTTCCATGAGAACGGCTAGCATGGGCTCACGGTGTATCTGAGCGGCCCCAACGGCTCTCTTCCATGTGTGCCCTTGGCCCTCCCCATGTGTGTGGGTCACGCCGGACGGCAGAATTCTGCGTCCAGACACATAACAAAGTGTATCAGATCCTGGAGCAACATGTCCTGTAAATTGGCTCCTACTCCTTCCCAGCGGGCATGCCTCTTTCAACCACGCAGCGAATCTGCATCATAATCGCTGTGCAGGAGTGGGGGGAGGAGCATAAAACGGCTTTGCTGCTGACTCCACGTGTGCAAATGCCCACCCTTAATGCATGATAATCCCATCCTTCCACTCCTCTCTGCACGGCAGAAGGCATGAGAGGAGCCCTGGGCTAATGTAATTAGAGGATCTATGAGCCACTCTGGGCGGGTTTTCCCGGTTTTTCGCCAACTGCCAAGTACAGAGCATTTAGGGGCAGTGATGGGAAACGTGAATGCAGAGCCGCATGCAGCCCATCGGGGCCTATGAGTGGTCCACGAGACATATTGTTTGCTGTTGCCCATGCACAGGGTTGCCCGAGCCTGTTGGTTTTCAGCAGCGTAGTTTTCTTCCTGCCCGTATTGCAAAACGTGACATGCACATAAAGCCGGGGCCCGTGAAGTGAGGGGTGTGCTGAATGCACGTTGATTGTGAGAGCCATGCACTCCCTCTGTGTCCAACCACAATGATGCCATGGTTCAATCCACCCATGCCACGAATTCTAGGTAGCCAAGCACAGTGAGCAAAACCACCCTATCCTGGGAGACCTTCTTGGATACGACAGTCTTGCAGCTCCCTGAGATGAACAGAAGTCACTTGCACGGCCCTTCACTAGCCTGGTTTGCCCATCGCTGTTTTAGGGCAACACTCGGTTAATTTCTCCTAACTTCAGAAAAGCCACTAGCCACGGCACTCAGCAGTCTGAGCCAAAGTGCTTCCTGGCCTCTCCTGTAGTAACTTGCAACTGCTTGTGCCACGAGACTAGACGGGCTGGCACTTTTCCTTTGAAAAATTGTGTGGTCCATGCAAACTGTAGCTGCCATTGGATAAAAGACCCAGATTGCTCCTGCTCTTGTATTTGTCAGAGTCCGATGACCCTACTGAAGATGACGACCCTGCCATCCCTGTGTACCCGCTGGAGTACATTGCTGGAGGTTTCTCTATTGTGCTCCTGCTGCTGCTGCTAGCGTTCTGCTACAGTTGGTGCCGGGGTGAGTCAATCCGCTAGATGGTTTCACTTGCTACTGTTTGTGCTTTGGGCTCTTCTAAGGAGTTTCTTAAAGAAAATTCAAAGCTGCATTGCTGTGTTTGTAGGGTGGTGGCATGACTCATGGTCACAGTCTTGGTTGCACGACTTCTTGGATTGTCTGAGCTTTTGTCATTACTGTCAATTAAGCAACAAAGGTTTTGTCATTCACAGGGTGCATAAGCCCCCTCCAACTCTGAATGCCAAACGTTTTGTGGGACAAGTACAGGTTGGACCTCCCTAGTCCGGCACTCTGGTTTGGCAACATCCGTGGTCCAGCATGATGATAGTTAGCTGGATGTCCACTTATCACAGGTGTGGCTAAATTTCCTGCAGTTCCATAAAGCTTGTTTACATCCACCAGTCCGGGTCTCAGTGTTCTGTGCTGTTATTTAGCTCTAATTTACCCATACACGTTTTCTAAGCAGGTAACGCTGGTAGAAAATATTGAACTCTCATGGTTCTGCAAATTCTCTGGTTCAGCGTTGGTCAGGTCCCGGGGTGCTAGACTAGAGAGGTTCAACCTAAATTAGTGTAAACATCGCTTTGTTGGCAGGACCCATTTTTCATTTTGTGGAATTTTTTCACTGATTCGTGTACGTTTTTACTGAAAATGTTACTGCAGGGAGAATCGCTGTGGTCGCTGTAATTGTGTTGTTTACTCAACACCCAACTGTATGAGAAAAATGTCGATAGCCCTTTTGATGCATTTATCTTTAAAAAAAAAATGTTTACAATGTTACAAAGTCAAGTCTGACCCATTGTCCCTGTCCCCGTCGGGGGGGCGGTAATGCTCCATTAAATGCTCACTCGGAGATCTCATCACCGTGAGCTGGTGGACAGCAGTCCCGAGCCCCTTCCAATCGTGTTCCCTTCACCCGGGGTCCTTCCCAACTCTGTATTAAGTTATTTGCCAAAACGACTAGTCCTTTGGCCCTGGCTCTGGCTAACAGTTCTCAGTTTTTGCATCTGAAGTTCGCAGAGGGTAGGGGGACCTGGGCCCTCCCCCACTCCGGGTCCCATCCCAGGACCCTAAGAGCAGGGATACAGCTCCTCTGCTCAGCTGGTGGGGACGTGCCCCATAACTCACCAATCCACAGGTTCCAGTGAGGCCTTCACCACAGCCCAACGTCTGCTTCGCCCCTTCCTGGGTTGATTCCTACCCTCAGCTCGCCTCCTCTCCAGGCTGGTGTAGGTGGCCACCCTCCGCAACATGGTTGAGCAATTTGTATCCGGCTCCTCTCTGAAGGCCACTCCCCATGGGCCGGCCAACGCTGGCAGGTCTCCCTCTCTCCACCTGCTCCAGCCCCTGGAACCCCCTTCCCTGCCGAACTCTGCCCCCTTATCCCTGCCGGCGCGGGCTTTTGAAACCCAGCGCTCTGCCACTGGAACGCCCGCGCAGGCGCTGTCCTCCCGGCCCGCGTGCTGCCCCCGTGCACTTCTGTGCATGCACCAGCGGTGGCCTGGGAACAGCCCCGTCACCACCGCAGGGGAACCGCTTTGTGGGCCCAGAGCATCTCCGCTCCCCTACCCCCAGTGCAGGGTTCAGGGGGCGCCGATCCTCAGGGTCCTGACACCCCATCACCGTCCCCAACACATTCATTTTCAACACAATAGCGTTTTTGGAGGGGCATTTTTGAGCTTCCTCCGGCTCAAAAGTCCATGGATGTCAGTGGATTTGTTCCTGATTCACACTGCTGTGAGAGGAACAACCCCAGCCACCAGCTTTCATCCCAAACACTTCCCAGTCCCCTGTCACTGTCGACAACACTCCCTTTCTCTGTGCTCGACAGACCCACAAGATGGAGGTCTTCTCTGATTCCTCCCTGCCTTTTGGCCCACCTATCCGGGCCAAATCCCCGTCCCATTACTTGTTCCTGCATAACACGTCTAATATCTGACATTTTTTCTGTCCCTGTTGCTAACATTTTCATTCAGGCTCTAATCAGCTCCCATACCGATTGCTCCTTATCCTCCCAGGAAACACACGTGATTAATTTATTCCTTTCTGGGTATAACACAGGGAGGTATATTCAAATTATTTTGCCTTTGAGTCCCAGAGTAGCTTTGGCAAATTGTAACATGAATGCAAAACTTCACTTTCCTTTGTGTCTCTGCATGAAGCTCTCATAAATTTCAGGATGATTAAGAGACTCCTCAGTAATTACCAGCCCTCCAGGTGTTACTTGTGTATACAACACTGAGGGCACCAACGGACGACATGTGTACAATATGGAGGCCACAGCTTCACTGATCTCTACTAACTCTTAAAGTGAACTTTGCAGGTGCAGCTGGATCAAAAGCAACCAGGATTACAAGGCAAGAGCAGGTAAGAAATAATAAACCGATGACCTGGTACATCTGAGTGGAAAAAAACCCCACAGCTTGTGAGAAGACAGAAAGTCAGATCTGATTCTAGCTGAATAGAAACCACACGGGGGAAATTTATTTTTGTGGCCAGAACATTAATGTGTGGTTGCACTAGGAAAATGAACTCGGTGGAAATGTGTTTGTGGGGGTCCCATGTTAATCTATCTTGGTCATTTCTTTATTGGATGTGCTCAGTTCCCAATAACTTTCCTAACACTAAGCATCAAGCGAGGCTCTTTTCAGCACGTGCATCACCGCAGGTTTTGTAGGACAACTTATACTCTTGGTGCCACTCCTGGAAGTAGACCCTTGATCAGTGAAACCTGCCCTCCTACCCGATAGTCTGTTTGGATAGTCAGCATGCGGGCTCGTATGGAAAGAGGGAATCTTAATTCATGGCTGGCGTGGCATCCATAAGGGATTGTCAGGATTTTCTTTAACTGCACCCGGGGAGGGGCCAACAGATTTGTTGGGCCCCATGGCAAGGTGGGTGGGAGTGCCAGCTCCATGCTTCTGGAAGGGGCGGGGCCTCTGGATGAAGGGGCGGGGCCTCTGGATGAAGGGGCGGGGCTGGGGATAGCCATGGATGAAGGGGCGGGGCCTCTGGATGAAGAGGCGGGGCTGGGGATAACCAGCCCTCTGCACTGCCCAGAACGCAACACAATCCCATCCCCGAGGTGCTCTGGCGGTGATTTAAAGGGCCATGGACACCAGCAACTGCTGTGGTAGCGGTAGCAGCACCTGGGAGCCCTGGGCCCTTTTGAATTGCCAGGCCCCAGGGCAACTCCCACCCCACCACCTCTTGTGGGCAGGCCTGCCTGCACCCTCTCCTTTTATGGACTGAAGGCCGGCTGGGGAGTCTAAAAACGGTCCTGGGTCTGGGAGCAGAATACTGGCGCGATGTGTTAATGGCCAATGGGAATTCTGGGCCATGGTGAAGAAGACACTAATATCTGCGCTATATGCAATAGGGGACAGTGCGGGGAAAAGTCTCTTTCCCATCCTCCCCCCGCCCCCAGACTCCACAGCCCCACAGGTGCAGACAGAGGTTCTAAGATGGGGAGAGGGGAGGCAGGGGCAGGGGAAAGTGCATTGCACTGACGTGTCTTGGTTGACACTGTGGCTGTGGCGGGCCTCAGCATCAAACCCACAGCCGTTCTCTCAGACCAGCGATCAAAGCACGATGGCGCTTGCCAGAGCGGAGCTGCCGAGCTAAGCCCCGACCAGAAACGCGGCTTCCTGCGGACGTCACAGGGGCGAGAACAAAGAGGCCAAAGGCTGAGACGGGGAAATAACGGAAATTTTGTGTTGAAGGAGGAAGGAAAGAGGGGTCAGATCAGAGCTGCTCTTTGAAGCTGCGTCCCTCTCCTCCCCCCGCTCCCCTACACCCTCCTCCCCGGCTTCTCTGCTCTCCAGCTCAGGCCTGTGCCTCCCCCTCTGCTCCCTGCATGCGGGTCCCTGCCTCAGGCCTGCGCTGCAGCCTTCGAGACCTCTTCATCCCTCAGCCCAGCTCTGCCTGGCAGGCGCTGACTCACCTGCTTGGGGAAGCGGCTGGGCCCGCCGGCGGGGGGTGGGCG